GTGAATTGCAATGGAAAAACCTGCAAAAACCAAACATTATGTTTTTAAAAAATAATAACCATGAACGATTCACAAATTTGTCAAAAACATAAGTATATCAGTTTCCGTTTTTAAAAGCGCTATATGTTGAGCCACCTCAGCTAGATTTGGCATGTGACATTTTTAGAGGCTATCATTGGTCGATTTTCTAGCGTTGCCATTAGGGGAGTTGTAATGAGGCTTTTCTTTTGTCGCCGTGTAAGAGAAATATATATATAGATAACGTGTTAATTTCTGCTTACAGAAACTTCGAGGTTCCAGCTCGCACCTCATTTTCACTTTAACAAGGGCCTAAGGGTAACATGCAAATTATATTGGTAATTAGCAGAATATCAAGATAATTGGCAGTTTGTAATTTTTTTGTAATAAGTTGTAATTCTGAGAAATGTGATGATTGTCTGCTCTTTAACGGATCAAACTAGTTAACACATTACGAAGGATATCTATAGGATAATTGAGCTCTGCGCATAAGTGGTACTATTTTGATTGCAAAAAGCTACGTCCCACAGTGGACAGATCGCTAAGACACGGTTTCCAGCAGATCACCGAAATCAAGCATCACTGGCTACGCTCAGTGTGCGGGTGGGTGACCACATGGATCAGCCTGCATAGGGACTGAGGGTGTGCGGTATGGGTCCTCGTTAAACTGTTCTACCGTAAAGTGCTCGACTTCGCGTGCAGATCGTCGGGCTACCGAAGCGGGGGTGCCATCCCCTCTGCAGAGGATCAAAATTGCGATGGCATGTCTTCGGATCATCCTCAGGGATGTTTCCCAGACCGTCGCCAATAGCCCATTGTGCAACTCTAGTGCGACGTAAATGAACAACAACAACAAAAAGCTACACCTTCTCTTTGATTCAGAGCTATTTGTGATAAAAATTTAATTTTTTATTTAATATAGCTTCAATTATATGTTTCTGTCCAGTCATTAAAATAAAACTAATTTGTTGATTAAACATATACATAGGACGGAGAAAATATAAAGATGAATTCGAACTAGGTTTAACAAAACCGAACTGATAACTGAGCACTTTAGCGGTAATATTCTGAATTCGAAAAACCTTCACCAAATTTTCGATTGAGAACCATCTGCCATAAGAGGTTATNGCCATAAGAGGTTATTAATTTTTTGTTTAACAAAGCTTCAATTGCATATTTCTGTCTAGTCACTTGGAACACACAAGTCATACTTTTCTTCCTTTTAATTCAGCAGTGCTTCAAGATACAATATGAGTCGTCAATTGGAGTTGAAATCTTCTGCTGCAAGCAGAAAACTTCAAATATGTGGTGATAGGTGCATTGTAAGTATTTTTGTATGCAAAAATTCTTGAATTATTTAGATACATGGAGGGAAAAAAAACATTTGAATTGTTAGTAAGAGTTTTTAGTTAAAACTTGGCGAATAAATGCCAGGCATGTGTTTTAGTTTTTGCCTTGATCTTATCATTACAAAACATCGAAATGTAGTGTTTGTGAGGTTAAGTCCTTAAAACCACCGAATTTTTCTAATTTACAACGTTTAATGGATAGAGTCTACACTATTTCGTTTTCACTCTACACTGTATGAATTTTAGTGTATCTCAACACTAAAAAAGGTGGCAACTACTTTGCACCGAAGCGATGCAGTGAAAGACCATACATAATTATTGATTTTTTTTGGTGTAAAGTTGCAGTAAATAAGTTATATTTACTTTTATTAAGAGTTTTATATAAAACTATGTCTATTTTACATATGTAATTAAAATAATGATAAGGTTTAAATCATATCCCAATAAAATTTGGAATTAATTATGAGTTACAAAATCTGTTTTAGATTGGGTTAGCAACTAAGTTCCCACTATTTATATA